GCCGGGATACCCCCCCTACCCCCCCCCCCGCGTTTTGGGGCTGTAAGGGAGAAAGGAAGAGGGTTTTCACCCTCTCCGCCTTCGGCAATCATCCAACACGCCCCCCAAGGTCGGCGGATAGAAGCCTTGCTTGGACAGAACCGTCGGCGCTGATGGCTACAATAACCATTCGTTGCGCACCTTTCGTCATTTCGTCCCCCCAATGCCTAAACCGGAAACCGTAAAAACCTAAACCTTTGTAAGGGTCGGCCCATGGCTTACGGTCTGGGTCTGGAGCTTCAAGCTTTGGTTTAGGCTTGGGTTAAGCCTTCACCCAGTAATAGTGTAGGGTTTAGGGTTTAGGGTTGGTATAATGGGAATATTTGGTAGTTCCCCAAACTAGGGGGACGCCAATATAGACCCCAAACTACTATAATCCTTATTATGGGGATCCCCAAAGTGGTACCCGTAATTCTGGGAAACCCCAATATAGGGACCCTGATATCATCACAAGTATCCTCCTTGGTCACTATCAGCGGGTGAGGGCCTGACCTAAGTTTAGGCCTTCAAGAGTCACCTGTATTTGCAATACTTACATTCTTGGGGATCCCTAATGTTTGGCGGTTGATGATTTCGTCGTTGGCTTGCATGAGCTACAGGTTCTGCGAACGAAACGTCTTGTCCCCCCAAAAGCGCAAACATAGAGTCGAAACTGCCTCATGTGCACTTGCCCTTCTCCGTCTGCAGGCATCCTGCAATACTACGGCACACAGGCGGGGTGGCGGATGAGCGGTTCTGGATAGATCAGGGTGTAAGGCTGTAAGTCAGAGGATACGCGCGCAGTCTCGTAACCCAATTGGATCACACTTCCGTGCACGGTGGTGTGTAGTTCTGAAAGAAGCCAGTCCCAAACATACAGACACTTCACCCTTTGGTTTGACTGCCAGCTGTTCTAGAGTTTCCGCAGACCCCCCTGCTGATCACCCTTATGTGTCCCAGCTCCCTGTGGGTACTTGGCGCCTGTATATACCTCCCCAGACGACTATGGTCCTTAACGTCAAGACCCAAGTAGGACTCCTTTCTTGCGAAGCCACGACGTTTTGACTAGCCCCAGAAATTATGAGGAGGCGGTGGCAGCCCTGTTTTAAGAACCCCCCTTCAGTACTCAAACAGGGGACCCCTTGTACTACGAGTCTCCCATGTGATGCTTGGGGAGGTAGAGTGGAGCGCCGCGGAGCTCCCAACCGAGCCTGACGAGGCGCCACGTTCTTAAGACAACAGGTAGGAAAGACAGGATAGAGAGCTTACCGTCTTGGGGTTCAGATTTGGGGTTTAGGGCTTAGGGCTTGGGCAGTAGGGGTACTTCTTTGGGATCTTGGCCCTGAGTGTCTATTTTTTCAGGTTTCTTCGGCCCTCTTGGGCTGCATTTCTTCTTCACATGCAAAGCCAGGATATTTCACTTGCGCAGCTTTTGTGGAAGTATCTCAGGGGGCTGGGTGGGGTTCATATTCAAGCTTCTTCGCGCTGTTGTGTAATTCGGGTTGTGTTGGGTTCAAGGGTTGTGACCAGGCTTGCCTGGTCTGGTGGTAATTAACGGCTGTGCTCATCTCCCCTGCAGTGGGTGGGAGTTCGTCTGCCAGCCCTTACTCGGGTGTAGAGCGCTATACTTCATTGCCATTCTGCAGTGTGTGTGTGTGTGCGTGCGAACATACAGTGAGCCCTAGCTGCAATAACTTCAGCAGCAATCGAGAAGAGACTTTGCTTCAACACAGCTGCTCCGCCCTGGTATGGGGCCCCTTTGGCTTTGGCCATCAACGCAGAACCCCTGTGCTCGCAGGAGCCACCTACCAGGGAGACGCCGGCAAAGAGGCTGGGAGATGGGGCAGCCGTGTCCAGGTGGTATCCTGATGGCGGGCTCTTCCAGTTTCAGCTTTCCTGCAGGCTTTTGGGACATGAGGGCCAATTTATGCCATGCGGGGAGTGAGATCATAACATGTGCAATTGTCAGTTGCCCCTTCATGTCGGGATGTCAAACAATGCTCACAAGAGCAGAGGAGGCCTCAAGGCCACACACACAGGGCAAACGGTTTGATTGGAAATAGAATTTCAAGAGTTTTACCACAAATCAGTCATTGCTGCCCTTGAAATACGAACTTGGGGAGTCTGTTCTCAAATCAGGGAGAACTCTATACTAAGTAAGACCCACGATTTGCTTGGTCAGGGTATGGATCGGCGCACACGCACAGCAGACAAGGTGCGCACGGAAGGGGGTAACATTCAGGGATTATGAGGTGCAGGGGAAATGCTCCCAGGTACCCTGGACCCATGTAGAAAGTCTGAACCATCAAGGCACAAGTCCTGGGCCTGAAGCCTTCAAGTGACAGAGCATGTTGAGGTGTTTTCAGCTGAAGTACTGGCACTTGCAAGAACGCGAAGTGAGTTTTTGTACCTACACTCCTGTGTAGGTCATGTCAGCAAGGCCGTGACCAAGCCTTACACGCAGAGCAAGCCGTTAAATCCAAAGCGTGCTTCGCGTAAACTTTCATGCGCATTCACAGCTTAGCGACAGAGGGAACTTGTTGCTATGCTCCCTGCAGAGACTGATTCCAGAAATTGCCCCGTCCCAAAACTCTCTGTGCCTCAACTCGACGCCTCCCTAGCCCTATGTAAACCTTAATAAGCCCCAAACCCTACCCTTGAGCCAGTGAATCTGCAGCTTAACTCAGACACTTTAAGTCACTTTCACCTTAATGTTGTGATGTGGGAGTCTCATGAGATTCCTTTCTAGGTGCCCCGGCATCCATTCAGAATGCACATGTATCCCTAGATCCCCTACGAGCTACCCAAAACCCTAAGTCAGACCTTCATCCTAAACCCTAGAGCCCAAAAACCCAGACCCTAAACCCCTGCCTCTAAACGCCTAGAGCCTGCCAACCCGAAGCGCTAAAATCCGAAGCTTAGCTCCATGCACGCATCCGAAAGCTTGCTAGCAGGCCCCTGGCTGCTGCTCGCTCCTCAGGGGTTCGTGCTCGTTCAGGATTTAACCGTGGGCTGACACGAATAGCTTCAGAGGCTTGGGTTCAGCGACCGTAGTTTGATAAAGTCTTGTGGGACAACCAACGGAATCCAGCTATTTTGCGACATGTTTTTTAACGGTGCTGTTTCATGATCATGGTTCAGACTTCAGGCTACAAGGGCCTTGCACAAGGAGAAGACAGTCATTGCTGCTAAATTCGCGCTTCCTTTCCAAGCAATAGAAATCACGGCTCTGAGTGCATCCAGGCAATGCGGAATCGATCGGCATTTTGTGTTTGCGTGCCCGAGAAACCGACCCCGCCGAAGACAATACCCGAAGTGCCAGAGTTCATTGGAACCGTGAGCCGCAAAAGTCGACCCCTTGTGTCGAGCGCTCCTGGGTGCGTCGTAAATCCTGGACTAGATTGGGATTAGATTGACTAGACTGCTGCAGACCATCCAAGCCCAAAACGGTCTACCGCACTGTCCTGGAATGGGCTGCTTTAGCAAATTGTCTCAGCAATGTGAACTGTGAAATGATAGCGCAGCAGTAGAAGCAAGAGAAGTGGCAACGAGAATCTTCATACTCAACATGGTACTGCTCAGAATAGTGACGCAGATACCGTGGCACTTCTGAGGCAGAGGAGCCCGCGCCCGAGGCTCAAGAGGCCAGGCCCTGATCCCCACTTGCCTCGCATTTGCCTCGAGTGCTTACAGGACTTCAGCCTCCGTTAGTGCCCTTAATGAAGCCTTCCAGCAAACTGTGGGTCATGTTTCTGGGGTTTGAATTCGTCTGCATGAAGCAAGTTCTCAGGATTCTGAGGGCAGCAGGGGGTGCCTTGATAATCAGACAGATCCAGAAGGGTACCGGGAACCTTGAACTTCAAGGTTGCTCCGTAGTGTGAGGAAGGGATTTAACCATCCACAAAAAGTGATTGCACATGTTATCCTACTTGATGCCTGGCTTACATCGACCCATGAACCTCCAAGAATATGTAACATGGATGATTGGGCAATCAAGTCAGTAAGTCCAACCCCAGACTATCCTGTAAGGTGGGTCGTGAGGCAGGGTTGGCACCATGTTGTGCAATGATTATGCAATGATTCATGGGGTTTTGCGGTGTTGGGGCGTGCAGGGTGCTTACAGGCCTGTAGAGGTTTTAGACAGAGTCATGCTTGCAGTCGTGGCCATCTACGATTGAATGGTGGCCCGATGGCGTCGGTTGAGGTAGCAAATCTATCGACCTTAGCCGCAAGACCAACAGGTGTACGTTTTTCGTGGAGGCCCCTCCTTATCATCAACCCGAAGCCCCAAGACAGGAGGAGAAGGGCGGCTGGGGCGAAGCCCCGATGGCCACGGAGGCCTGGATTCAGGGTTGATGGTTTGCTATTGCAGGTCGACCAATTCGGATTTCCAATTTTGGGCTTAGGGTTTGCAACCCAAATTACCTATAGTTTTATGGCTTGTATTACAATTAGAACGTACTTCATGCCAAACTGTGCTTAGTTGGGGTTATAGGTACTTTGGGGTTTGGGGTTCCTGTTTGGATTTTGAGTTTGGCGAACAACCATCAAGACGATGATCTCGGGAAAGTTGAGTCATTGAGCTAAGGTTAGTAAGAGTTCGTGAGGTATGTAAAAAGACAGAACTACATGAATTTCGGGAGGAATCTTCCCAAAGTCTTCCAGTTTCTAGCCTAAATTGCTTTTGCGCCGAAGCCTCGTCCTGATCTCTGCGCATTCATTTTTTCATCGAGGAGTGCCTATCCCAATATCCGAGGGGGCAGCGGGGGTGGTCCCTGCCCAAGAGCAACATCGAATGCATATGAGCCATTGTCTAAACTCCTAGTAGCCCCCTTAATAAGCCCTATAGTAGTCCCCTATATAATCCCCTATATAACCCCCCTTTAAGGAGTTTAGACTATAGCTCATATTATTATTACTATTTCCATGATAACATGATTACCATTATTACTCTTATTC